GAGGATGACAGCATTGCCAGCCCCCCACCTCCCACCCCGAAGGCTGCAGAAGGGCCCCGGCCCCCAGCACCCGGGGCCAGGGCGCGCTGCCAGGGCGGGACGTGGGCGGTGGCCTCCCGGGACTGATCGCATTCCTGGGCTTCAGCTCCATGAACTCCCACCAGCCCAAGGCCAAGTTCCCTCTCTGCACGCAGGCAGGCGGCGAGGGAGCAGAGTGGGGCAGCGGGAAAGGCGCCGGCAGAGAGGGCAGGAGAGCACAGGGTGGCTGCAGGAGGGAGGCAGGGAAGGGGCAGGCCTTGGGGACACGCATGTGCATGTCCCTGTGGGGCCCAGGGGCACCCGTGGGGCCACCGTCTCCCGCACAGCCGGGCGGCGGGCGGGAGGGGAGGCAGAGCGGGACTCCAATAGGAGCTGAGGTCTGTCTGCAAGTTGCATGAGCCCGGCTGGAGGTCTGTCTGCAACTTGCACGGCCCTGGCTGGACGGAGCGGCCCCACAGCGTCCCCAGCCCAGGGCTCCACCCCCGTGCCCCCCCCAAACCCCGTGTGATCGCCCCGCCGGAGCGCCCTGGGCCCCCAGGCGCTTACGGTCCTCAGTGGTTCCCGGCTGCAGGCTCCTGCGGGGACCGCTCACGGTGCCTCTGGCTCCCGGGTCTGATCTCCGGGCACAGGCACTGATCCCGCCCAGTCCACCCCCTCCAAGGGGCGTTCCCCACAGGGCCCAGGGCAGCGGGACATCCGGGTCCGGTCCCGCCCCCCTCGGGGACCCGGGGGCCGCCCTGAGGGTTCCCCTGGGAGCGGGGCTGCTGTGGGGGGACCCGCCGGGGGCTCTGCCAGCAGCTGGATGCGGGGACTTCCATCGGAACTTGGATCCTGGTCAAGGTTGCATCACCACGCTCTGAGTTTAGGAAAACAACGATTGAACTGTACCCTTTATTGGGGGGAATTTTATTTTTATTTTTTTGTTATTTAAAAAATATATATTTTATTGATTTTTTTACAGAGAGGAACAGAGAGTTAGAAACATGGATGAGAGAGAATCATGGATCAGCTGCCTCCTGCACATCCCCTCACTGGGGATGTGCCCACAACCAAGGTCCATGCCCTTGAGGGGAATCGAACCCGGGACCCCCCAATCCGCAGGCTGATACTCTACCCACTGAGCCAAACCGGTTAGGGCTGGGGGGGATTTTATAGTAAGTGAATTATACCCCAATAAAAATGTTCTGTAAAGCAACTGCGGTGAGATTGGAACCTCAACTCCTTAGGATATGAAATCCAAGACACTAAGATATTTCTATGTACAATCTACACCAATCTACATATACGCGGTCCCTAAGTAAGAGTCCAACTCAGCAGGGCAGGATGTAGACACAATGCTACCCCTTTTGGTCAGAAGCTGTTGGTTTGGAGCAGAAGAATGCGTATAATGTGCTCTCTGGAATAAATTATTTTTATTTTTAAAAATACATTTTATTGATTTTTTACAGAGAGGAAGGGAGAGGGATAGAAACATGGATGAGAGAGATATCCATCAGCTGCCTCCTGCACACCCCCCACTGGGGATGTCCCCACAACCAAGGTACATGCCCTTGACCGGAATCGAACCCGGGACCCCTGAGTCCGCAGGCTGATGCTCTATCTACTGAGCCAAACCAGTCCTGGCTGGAATAAATTATTTTTAAAAATTAGAACAAAGGCTGTTCCTCTGCACAAGCTTCTGGCGAGTTTCCAGGTACACGGGGCAGAAGGAAAAATAATGTGGGGAGGGAAACCTTTGTGTAAAAACGAGGCCGGCCCCCGATTCACTGGGAAGAAACAACATTCTCTGCGCCCAAACTGTGAGATAGGAATCAATCGTGAGGAAACAGGCTCTCACAGTATACAAAGTAATGGGCCTCTACCCTGCACAATGTCAAGGTCAAAAATGTGAATGGCAGGAAAAACCAGGCATGGGGCATGAAAAGGAACTGTAACGCTCTATTTTGGACCAGAAATGGTTTCTATAAAGAATGTTTTGGGGCCCTAACCGGTGTGGCTCAGTGGATAGAGCATCGGCCTGTGGACTGAAGGGTCCCAGGCTGGTCAAGGGCATGGACCTTGGTTGCAGGCACATCCCCATTAGGGGTTGTGCAGGAGGCAGCTGATCAATGTTTCTCTCTCATTGTTTCTAACTCTCTATCCCTCTCTGTAAAAAAATCAGTAAAAAAGCATATTTTTAAAAAACCATGTTTTGGGGATTACTGAGGATACTTGAAGATCTGTAGGTTAAATAATAGTGTCATGTTAATGGTTACTACCTTGGTTTTGAATTTTTCTAAATGAATATCTGTGATCTTAAAAATACACATGGAAGTATTTCAGTAATGGGACATGTCTGAAGTGGTATAGATGTTAAATGAAGCAAACATGCATTTGCTTTATAACTCTGTATCTAGATCTGTATTTCTCTATAGGCTCCCACCTCAAGCTTTTCCTTCATTCTTTTTCACAAGGGGCTCCTCATAGGCACTCCCTGCTCTTTATATTCTTACCAATAAGTTGCCAATGGAAAGACCAGTGATCGCACCAGGCCCTATATGTATTCTATTATAGTGAACTTGTCAAAAGGGCACATCAGCCGTTACTCATTATAAAAGTACTAGCAGCCTGGTGCACAGATTCATGCACCAGTGGGGTCCCTCAACCTGGCCTGCACCCTCTGGCAATCTGGGACCCCTCAAGGGATATGGAAGAGCTGGTTTCAGCCAGATTCCCACAAGCCAGGCAGAGGGATCCCACCTGCATATAAGATCTTTGGTTCATCTCTTCCTCCCCTTCCCCTTGAGATTCATCAGTCTGTTCCATGCTTCCATGCCTGTAGTTTGTGCTTCTGCCTTGAGCGTCTGCCCCCTGGTGGTCAGTGCATGTCATAGCTACTGGCCTGTCGGCTGGTTGGCCAGTTGCTTAGACTTTATAGATTAACTATTTCAGGATAAACAGATTATAAATCCAATTGACATTAAAGGGGGTGGCAATACTAAACAACTTACAAAATGTCCCACAGAGAGAATATTTTGTAAGAATATGACATAGCATTGTTTCCTATGTCTTCTCACCATTCTTATAATCAAGTATACTTGCCACTTACCACCAACCAGTTCTCAATCACTTCATTTTGTGCAGCCATAAATAAACACACGTTTTCCACACTCCCTCCTCCCCAAGAACACTCTATGAGGGCAATCTTGTATTTCCCACATGCAAAAATAGAGCATTTAATAGCAGACATAGCTTGGCAGAAAAGGCAGATATTACCAATAAATAATTGTTCAATTATAATGACGAGAAAGTGCAAGAGTTGGCTACTTACAATAATGGCTACCGTTTATTGAGCTTACTATGTTCCAGGCACTGAGTTATAGGATTATGCCATTTCATCCTCAGCAAGTCCTGTGAGTATTGCTAACCCAATTCACAGAAGATGGAAGCTTCCAGAAGGGTCTTAGGACCCCAGAAGGAGAAAGCAATGGAGACAGAACTGCAGCCTGGCAGTTTGCCGTGGGATCTCTGCTCTTTAGGACTCTGCTGTCAGCTCCTAAAGATGCAAAGGACCCAAATGCTGGCCCCTCCCTTCCTGTTGCCTCTGTAAAGGAGTGTTAACAAGTGGAAGGTGTAAATGAGAATGAAAAAGGCCAAAAAAAAACTCCTGACCCCATTAATTATGGGGGAAAAACGCCACAAACGCAAAAAACCCTACACTATTATTAGATTACTTTCCTTAGTCGAGGAAAGAACCTTGCCATGGAAACTCAGGTTTTGAGCTTTTAATGATCACAGAGAAATGTAGAGTACCAAGGACAAAAATTACTTACGGTATCATTATGCTCAATTTAGACTCAATGAATACAGTATATGCCAGGCAGGAAATGAGTAATTCTTGTGAAGTTACAAATTTCAAGAGAAACAATATGTAGTCACATATTTTATTCACTGACCTCTCTGAAACACGTCAAAATTCATATGGCTCATAGAACTTTCCATATTAAAATGCTCAACACCACAAATTCCTAACAAAAAATATTTTAATGTGGGAATCAATATATGACATGACATTAGTTGGTGAAATTCAGGGTACAGATATAAGATAAATATCCAATAATATTCTTCTGGCTTAATGGAAGCATAACAGTTGGTGAAGTCATGAGAGGAATGGGCAGGGGTATGGAAGAGGTACGCAGAGAGTTAACAGTCCGCATAATCCTGAGCCCTTCTGAGAAGCTCCAGGTGGGAAAGATGTGACAGATGCCTTCTAATGTGGTGGCTTCAGTCCATCAGTGGCCATTCTGTTCATGTGATGTAAGCGCTGAAAACTAGACTCAAAGTTTGCTCTACAAGCTTCTAATACTAACAATCCCTTATAGTCCAAAATAGTTTAAATTTGGAAAGTTCAAGATAAAGCATACTTGTTTTCATAATTTCTTGTAGATACAACTGAGACTAAACTATACTGTACGTAATCAGTATACTGCTGTGTGGTTAATTCTAATTACCATATTTTGTACTTGTTGGCCGTCAACTGCCCAAATGTTACTCCCCCAAAGAAATGATCAACCCAGTGAAATGGTTACATTTAATTTTTTTTAAAGACAAATCAACTAAACTTAAGAATAGGCTCTTCCTGGTATCTCATTTTCAAATTATTGCTACCAACTTACTGAAAGAAATAATTACATATTTTCCCCAGCATCAAATAATCTGCAGGATGTTTCCTAGATAGACACATTTCTCGTTCCATTTCCAAAAATAAATAAAGGCTTTCTCACGGAAAACATATGCATTCCTAGCTCTCGAAAGTAAATATGAAGCAAAGTGAAAAAAAAAAAAAAGAAAAAAAAAAAGGTCTTTCGGCTTCTGGATAGCCCGCTTCGTCACAGTAAGGATTTTCTGTCCCAGCGCTGCCTCAGATTCAAAAGATATTTACTTCCCGAGAACATGGCAAACAGTCTTCATTGCAAAAACAGTCAGTCCGTTTCCATGGCAACACTGCGGGACTCCTTGGCGACCATGAGTCGCATCAGTTGACTGTGGAATTTCTCAATCTTCTTTACATCTTGAGCTTGGTCTGTTCTATACACCAGACACTGTCAGAAACGGTAAAAGTACACATTACACAGAAGCAGATGATCAACAATGTAAAATCATATTCACGTTCCCAAGCCTCCAGCAATCACAGTCCTTAAATCTGTCACCGCTGTGGGTAAACACACTGCATGGACTCTACTAGAAGCTTCTCTGAAATGACCCGTTAGGCAACATGTTAAATACTGCTGTGGTCTGATGAGAACAACTCATGTCGTTTTTAATGAACACAGGAAAGTCAGGGCTTAGGGGTGTGAGGGTGGAGGTACGCTGAGTGAGGAGGAGCCACTGAAGGTTTAAGGGGGTTAGAACAATCAAATTCGCATTTTTGAAACCCCTCCAGCAGCAGCCTAGGACGACTGAAGGGGGAACTGGAAGCAGGGGAGTCAGGAGATTATTCTAATAGTCAAGTGATGGTGGCAAGTGATGATGATAGTCTCTAAGCTTCAGAGACTAACAGGGAAGACAGAGAGCTCATGGCAGGAAGTAAATGCAGGGCCTGAAGCCCCAAATGCCCAGACAAGTGTACAGAATGCCCCAGAGGCTCACGGTTCTTCAGCTGAAGAGACAGTGGACGTGAGAATGACGGACAGGAAGGGACCATGACCCTCAAGCATGAAGTGCAACTGGAAGCAGGAAGCAGAAGGAGCCGTGTGAGAAGTGACTGAGGAGCACTGAGGTTAGGGCACTCAGCTCAGAACTGGTCAGAAGTCAGAAAACAATAGGCGTTAAGTGGAAAGAGACAGCTGCAGGCAGCACGGCATGTAATGGCCGGACAGATTACTCCACAAGTGGTTTCCAAAGTCAACCGGCCAGTCTGGAGAAACCCACATGGCCGGGGGCACGTCAGTGAAGCAATTAGCGAAGAATGAAACAGAAACATAGAAAGAGAGAACAAGGAAAACCATTTACTTTTAAAGAAAAGCAAACAAGATAAAATAGAGACACAGCCGCCAAGATAATGATTTCTAGGAGAGTGGTTTTCTGTATCAAAAGCAGCCAGGAGGTCGGTGTGGGCTGTCCCAAGAGCAGCCGCAGCGGAGGGAGCACTGGCTGCAGAGAGCGGAGGGAGCACTGGCTGCAGAGAGCAGAGGGAGCACTAGCTGCAGAGAGCACGTGGCAGAGGCACCAAGTGAAGGGGAGGGAGGAAGTGACAGTGAGCAGACAGCGAAGGAGAAGGATGGAATTGAAAACCTGTATCTTGTGTTCAAGTACCTTCATTTCCTTCTCAGTGCCCATAAGAAAACCTCTGTCCCCTCATATCCTGCTCTGGCCTCTCTATTCCTCTCGATTAAGGTCCAAAGAGAGCAATCACTAAACTACACCCACAAGCTATCTTAATGAAGCTGAATTAATTCCTCTCCAGAGCCTGTGAAAGTAGCTTCTAATCTAGAATGTGGTTCTTGACTTTGGAATGAAATGCAAAATATTAAGTCCTAACGGGCAATCTGCATAAATCCTATGTAAGTAATTTTAAACAACTCAAATCTGAAAGCATGCAAGAAATAAGAAATGTATACTTACAACTAAATCATCTGTTACTTTCATACACAAGCTCCCATCAGAATGCCTATATTTGAGAACCACACGTGCCTGAAACAAAAAAAATACCTATTTAGAAACAGTGAAGCCGGAAGAACTTTCTCGTAAATAATTTAGTCTTCAGGCTGGCCAGAATGATCCTTCAGAATTAATAGCCAGAATGTTCAAAGTCACTTTTACTATAGACTTACTGAAATGAGGTAGATATACAGCATTATGTTTACAAGTTCACTCCTAGTGCTACCACTGATTTTGTAAAAAGACTTAAGGTGGTTTGGCATTTCCAGGCAATAAAAACATATACTGGCCCTGGCTGGTTTAGCTCAGTGGATAGTCTGTGGACTGGGGGGGTGGGGGTGGGGGTTCCCCAGGTTCGATTACCTTGGTGGCGGGCACATTCCCAGTAGGTGTGCAGGAGGCAGCTGATCAATGTTTCTCTCTCACTGATGTTTCTAACTCTCTGTCCCTTTTCCTTCCTCTCTGTAAAAAAGTCAGTAAAATATATTAAACAAAACAGAACACAGCAGAAGGCTGTCATGAAAATGCAGATGTTTTCAGGCCACTGTCCTTTTCTGAGCTGCGTCCTCTCTCCCCTCTGCTTATTCTACACAAGCTCCCTGCACAGCGGGCTCCGCCGCATTTAAACAGGGTGACTCTGGACGGGAGCTGGTCTGATACGGTCTCTGTTAAAACATTCTCAGTTTGGACAAACGAACCGTCCAGGCTTCCCGGGACCTGGCGTGAGTGAGGAATCACCCAGAGAGAAAAGCCAGGCCCCGCGCCATCCGCCAAGTACTCATTTAAATGAGCGAATGAATTAGAAAAAAAAAAAAGTTTAATTCCTCTCATCGTTCCTTACCATTTTATGGCGAAGAATGGAACAGCATAGCCTATAGCTTCTTGTTTTCTTAGCAAGGGTTAGAGAGCTTGCAGGACTTTTTTAGTTAACAGGCAGGTGTGTTCCAGGCGAATGTTAGACGTGACCGTGAGATAAACCTTAGCTTTAAAAAACAAGGACCTAACTTCTGTTGGGGGCGGGAAATGAATGAATCCATAAGCCCTCCCCTCTCCTCCCCCCCTAAAATGGTTTGCAAACCTGGACGTTTAAGAACATTGTGCTTGCCGAAACCGGTTTGGCTCAATGCATAGAGCGTCAGCTTGGGGACTGAAAGGTCCCGGGTTCGATTCCCGTCAAGGGCATGTACCTTGGTTGTGGGCATATCCCCAGTGGGGGGTGTGCAAGAGGCAGCTGATCGATGACTCGCTCATCAATGTTTCTAACTATCTCTCTCCCTTCCTCACTGTACAAATCAATAAAATATATTAAAAAAAAAAAAGAACATTGTGCTGGGCAAAGGCTGCCAGCACCCTCACCTCCTCCAACTGGGCAAGCAGCACTGCTCTCAGGGGTGTCGCTGCCTCCAGATTGGGGTTTTTTTCAAGCATGTTTCGGCGGTGCCAGAAAAAAAAACACAACAAAACAAAAACCCCAAAACCCTTTTATTTTGCACGAGGAATCCTGACTCCCTGGCTTAGGGGGAAACGGGCAGCAAATCCAGGGGCAGGAAGTGAAGCTGCGGGGGAGGAGCCGGGCCCTCAGGGACACGTAAACCCCCGGAAGTCTTGGGGGGATGGAGGGGGGACGGAGAAAGGCCGGGGCAGGGCGGCTTGGGACCCCGAAAGGACCCCGATTTCTGCCCACGTCAAGGTGTCCCCGGGGCCGATCATCAGAGCGGAGGCAGAAGGCACAGGGGGGCCTGCGGGGTCCGTCTCTCTCGGCCCCAGCCCCCCCCCCGGACCCCCAAGTGCAGAGCGGCCTCCGGGGGGGACCCCTGACCCCGCGGGGCTGGGCACCGAGGCGCCGGCTCGCCGGCCACGTACCTTCATGGGGTCGGCGAGGTAGAGCTTCTCGGCCGCGCGGCTGAACTCCTCCCAGGTCTGGAACTGCGGCATCGTGGGCCCGCGGCGGCGCCGGAGAGGGAGGCGAGGCCGGGACCGGGACTGGAGCGGCTCGACCCGGCCCACCTTCCTTCTTCCTTCCTCCCGCCGCCCCCACCCGACCCCGGGGCCCAGCCGATCCAAGATGGCGGCGCCACCTCGCACCAACGCCTCGTCTCATTGGGCGGCCGGGACGGCCCCAGGCCAATGAGAAGTAGGGTTGTTGAAAAGGGGGCGTGGCCCCGAGCGTGTGACTTTTCCTGGGAGCGGCCCAGAGAAGCCGAGAGCAGAGGGGCAGCTGGCTGCTCCCACAGCGCCCCCTGCAGGCCTGGAGGAGCATCCGTCTCGCTGTCCTAAAGGGAATGGGAAAAGGCCCAGGTTCCTTCAACGACACCCCAGTCTAGTAAGGAGAGGAGAGACCGAGACATAAGCGGGCAACCGAAGGCTCTTTATTTTTATTTATTTATTTTAAAATATATTTTATTGATTTTTTTTTACAGAGAGGAAGGGAGAGAGATAGAGTTAGAAACATCGATGAGAGAGAAACATCCATCAGCTCTGCCTCCTGCACACCCCCCCACTGGGGATGTGCCTGCAACCAAGGCACACGCCCTTGACCGGAATCGAACCTGGGATCCTTCAGTCCTCAGGTCGACGCTCTATCCACTGAGCAACACCAGTTTCGGCTTCAATGGATTCTTGCATTCATCGCCCTCATCATGCCAGGAGCGCTTGCCTGCACCCACCTTGTGCCCTATGCAGTGCTGGCAGCCAGGGGCGGGGGTTTGGGGGTGGGGGGTTGGGGGGAGGGCACAGATCTGGGAAGGGGAGCCAGCCCACAGACCGGTCTGCCCAGGTCTGCCCAGTAAGCCGTGTCCTGACGGGGCGGGAAGTCTTGTGACCCAGAGCAGGCCTGGGCAGCTTTGGCCTGGCGTCCAGCGGAGGGCAGTGGTGTGCAGACAGTCGCATGGAGACGCTGGTCTCCCTGAAGGACATGTCCCCAGGGGCCCACGCCCCTCGCTCAGCTGGTGGGTGGTGCTGGGTGTGGGTTCCTTTTGCTCCATCCCTTCCCTTCCTTGCAGGACAGAGCCTGGGCTCCTTATTTTTTTTTTTTTTTTTTTTTTTTTGAGAGGAAGGGAGAGAGATAGAGAGCGAGAAACATCGACCAGCTGCCTCCTGCACACCCCCCACCGGGGATGTGCCCGCAACCAAGGCACATGCCCTTGACCGGAATTGAACCCGGGACCTTTCAGTCCGCAGACCGATGCTCTATCCACTGAGCCACACCGGTTTCTGCCCGGGCTCTTGTTTGATGGGCGGGAACTTGAATCCAGGCAGCCCTTCCTCCGTGTCAGTCCCATCATCACGGGGGCTGCAGTGCAAGCAGAGGTGCTGGCATGCTCACGGGAGCAGAGGGGCGTGCAGGGAGGGGGTGAGGCAAGTTTGCAAACAAGCCAGAGGCAGGGACAGGCAACCCCCTCCTCCCCCCCGTGGCTCCCCCAGATCCTGAGACGGTGGGCCCCGAAGTCGACCTTGGACAGCAAGGATAAGGACTCCCTTGAGGCTGGGGGTGGGGCGGGACAGGGAGGAAGGGGCGAAGGCGGAGAGAGAGGTCACCCTAAGAAGCAAGGAGCCCTTCCAGGGGGAACAGAGCGAATGCACCTCAAAAAACAACCAGAAGAAAGATGCCCTTTTTTTTTTTTTTTTTTTTTTTTGAGGGAGAGCAAGCTCCCTCTGAGCTCTGGGATGGCAAAGGCCGCCCTCAATGCTGCCTCTTTGGGGGAGGGGTGAGGTGGGTGGGGATGGGGGGGGGGGAAGCTGGGCCAGGCCAGGTCATGCACTGCCCAACCCAGGGGCCTCGGTGTTTGGGCCAAAGGCCAAAGGTGAGGGCCCTGAGATTCCAGAGGCTCCTCCCGACTGGCCCGTTCCATCTGAAACCGATTACAGTGAAATGTAAACCCAAGGCAACTGGGAAGAGGAGGTTGGGATGTTATCCCCACCTGCTCCCCTCCCTCCTCTCCTGGCCAGGGCATCTCGGATTTCCCACATGCCCATCAGGCCCCGGAGAATGGCCCCATTGTGGGCGAGACAAACCAAAATAGCAGCATCCTCTGTTCCCTGCCTTTGGGAGGGAGAGTCCGCCTCAAACCCCAGAGTCCCACAGGCGCGCCACAATGGACACCGTTGTTGCAAAGGAGTGATCCTGGAACAGATGCGGGGCAGGTAGTCGGATGGCAGCCAGGGGGCTGGGCTGGGCCACGGAGAGAGAACAATTGGGTAGTCACTCCATTAACCCAATTAGCCCTCGCTGGCCGGAGTTCTGTTACTCACCAAGGGCAGCAGGTGGGCACGGTGGGCAAGGTGGCATCCAGGTGGTGGGGGTGGAGGCAGGCAGGGAGGCGGGGACCAAAGCACCAGGAATGAAGTTCAGCTATTTCTAGACTGCGAAATGCTATTTTTATCATTTTTGAAACGCTCTGGGTTTTTTGTTTGTTTGTTTGTTTGTTTTTTAAATCAGGCCCTGGAGCGCTGGGATGAATGGTGTTCACTTTAATTAATAAATCTGATGACATCTCTGCGCAGCGGTGGGAGCTCTTGGTGCTGAGAAATGGTGACTGTGGACTCTTAAAAAAAAAAGGATTTTTTATTGATTTCAAAGAGGAAGGAAGAGGGAGAGGGAGAGAAACATCAATGATGAGAATCATGGATTGGTTGCCTCCAGCACGCCCCCTTCTGGGCATTAAGCATGCAACACGGGCACGTGCCCTGACCTGGAATCGAACCGTGACCTCCTGGTTCATAGGAGGATGCTCAACCCCTGAGCCACGCAGGCCTTGGCTGACTGGGCACTCTTTTTTTTTTTTTAAATAAATATATTTTATTGATTTTTTACAGAGAGAAATAGAGAGTTAGAAACATCGATGAGAGAGAAACATCCATTGGCTCCCTCCTGCACAACCCCTACTGGGGATGTGCCTGCAACCAAGGTACATGCCCTTGACCGGAATTGAACTTGGGACTCTTCAGTCTGATGCTCTATCCACTGAGCCACACCGGTGAGGGCCTCTTTCTCTGCAGAGGCCATGAGTCAAGGGCTGGCCGCCTGGGGTTGCAGGAACCAGGCCACCCGTCGCAATCAGGAAGGGAGACAGGGACACGGACCGAGCTCCCAGCGCTGGGTGGCTGTGGGAGGGCAGATGCAGAGATAAGCCGGCCCCAGGGGAAATCGGGGCTGATTGGGTGCCTGTCCAGCCTCCTTCCCCATCAGGCCCAGGAGCCATTGTCCCCCAGTTCCCCCCCATGCCCTCCCCAGCTTCTCTCTCCATTCTCCCTCTCCCCACACGTCACTGGACGCTCACCCACTTTCTCTCCTTTGCTCCGTTCCCTTCTCACCGTAGCCAGCCTCCCAGCCGGGCGAAAGGGACACGGCGTGAAACATGCGAAACTGTTGTCTGCAGGACAAAGACGCGGTGTCCGGTGTCTCTGGAGTTTGACCGGTGGCCAGCCGGTGTGTCTGGTCCCTGGAGGTCCGGCCCGCTCCCCTGGGCTCCCCTTTATGGTCTGTCTGCAGGGCTGCAGGGCCTAGAGGGCAGCCGCTGACCTCTGGCCCCGGCCAGGCCCGCTCTGTCCCTGTTTGCTGATGGCCAGCATGAGACATTCCGGGAGTCTGCAGGAAAATGTTCTTCTGTAATCATGGCCCCCTGGGGTGTCTGATCTCCAGAGCCGTCATGGGCATAAGGGTCAGGGCTGAGAAACGTGTCCATCTTAGCCTTTCTTCTACCCTGTTTCCCCGAAAATAAGACAGTGTCTTATATTAGTTTTTGCTCCCAAAGATGCGCTAGGTCTTATTTTCAGGGGATGTCTTATTTTTCCACGAAGAAGAATACGGTACACATTTATTGTTAAATGAAAATAAAGGAAATTTATTCCCTGTAGACGGTACGGTAGTACAGTAGTTGCCAACGTAAACCAGACAAACTGTGAATCCTAGAGTGTCAAGAATTTACTCGTTTATTCAATGACAATCATGTCATCCTCTTCTGGAACATCATCGTCACAATCCAGTTCCTGAGTTTCCTGGTGAATTTTTTCTTGTGACTCCATTTCTTTCAGAATCAGTGGACCAAATCTCTCATGTTTAGCCTAGGGGGAGGGGTGCCTTATTTTGGGGGGGATGCCTTATATTTCACTCAGAAGGAAACCTGTAAGTAGGTCTTATTTTCGGAGGATGTCTTATTTTCAGGGGGCCAGTCAGGGCGAGTGCCTGGTGATTGCTGTCACTTCCTGGTGCGGCTCCAGGTGGCCGATGCCGGCCCCTTGCCTCTGGGCCAGACACAGAGGTCAGGGGGTCCCGGGACGGGACACAGCTGCTTTGAAGCTATGGAAGGGGCTGGCCTTGAACTCCTGCGCCCCGTCTGGGTGTCAGGACGCCTTCCAGCTGCTCCGGACCAGCAGAGCCTTCTCCCGCCGCTGACCTTGGCTGCTGCTGCTTCTTTTTAAATATATATTCTGTTGATTTTTTACAGAGAGGAAGGGAGAGGGATAGAATGTTAGAAACATCGATGAGAGAGAATCATCCATCAGCTGCCTCCTGCACACCCCCCACTGGGGATGTGCCCGCCACCAAGGTACATGCCCTTGACCCGAATCGAACCTGGGACCCTTCAGTCTGCAGGCTGATGCTCTATCCATTGAGCCTCACCGGTTTCGGCCAGAAATTCACTCTTACCACGTGTACCCCTTCCTGAGCCGCTTACCGCTGGCCCCAGATGGCCAGCACCGGGGCAGTAAGCAGACCAGGCCCTCCCACCTGCTCCTCCCACTCCTCCCAGCCCTTGGTGGGGCCCTAAGGCAGCTCCCTGTCCCTTCCGTGGTCACCCTCTGCCTCCCATGCCCGTTCTGTCCTCATGGCTCTGGCAGTAATCTCCCCGGAGGACGGGATGGGGGTGTTAGACCTGGGTGGTCACGGGAGCAGTATGGCTCCCCATCAATGATTAACTGTTGTCATTGTGAAG